CTACCTGCTGCTCCAAAGGCAGAACAGCATTTCCCTTCTGTATCCAGAGCTGCGGAGTTCAAAGGCTCAGCTTCCTCTGACTCACTTCTCCCTGCAGGACGGGCCCTCCTCCCAGCAGGCGGGCAGGGCAGCGCCGCGCGTACCGGGGAGCCCCCGACGCTGCGCGGAGCCTGCGGGCTCCGGCCGGCGCGGGACGAGGAACGGCCGCTGCCCGAGCGAAGACGGGAAGCCCCAGGCAAAGCTCTCAGCTGCGCTGGGTGAAGGCGACAACAACAAGACAGCAGCTGTCTACAGACAAACAGAAAACATTTTTTATAGAAAATATTATGGCTTCAAATTAACCGAGTCTAGCTGGTGGGTGACGGGCAAGGTTGGGGGCTGGCATCGGTATTGCGATGTTTACAACAGAACACCAGCGGCCAACGTCCCAGGGTGCAGCCAAGAGAAGCCAAGGCCTTTCCAGCAAGCCGGGCTTAGCAAGGGCCTCGTCTGCTCGAGCCGCCTCCGCCTCATGCACTCCGAAGGACGGGGAACGCTGCCAGGCCCAAGGCTGGCGTACCCAGCCCGCGCTGAGGACTGCTCCTCTTCGCTCCAATTGCCAAGCACCCGCCGGCCTTCTCCAACAGCCTGCACCCCATGAAAAGCTTGGCCTTTCCCTCACTATTCCGCTACGTCCCTTTCTGAAAGCCCTTTCCTCCGTCTGACAGCTTTTTTTTAGCTCTGCTGCAAGAGGTAGTACGCTAAATCTGGCTTTGCAGAGAGAATCCTCCAACTGGTGTTTGTCTGGCAATCAAATGCCTTGTTCACAGTGGGATGCCCATAGGGTACACCAAGCTGGAACGTGGTCCCTGCTGTAATCCAGAGATGCTGTGCATGCAGGAGGGAGAGCGTGTGCTTAACTCCTCAGTCCCTTCAGCAAACAAGCACAGGAAAACCCACCAGCGCTGCGTGCAGGAAGACCTTGCTGAACGGCAGGTGCCAGCCTGGGTGCGGAGCGCACCCCGGGAAGCGCGCCCTGTTCCAAGACGTTCCTCCGCCAGCCTGGGAGCGAGGGCTGAAACGCAAGCTTGGCCTCTTCCACGAGCAACACACAACAGCCTGCGGAGACGCTGGCTCAGCGCGCTCTGCACCACACAACCGACTGCGCACAAAACACCCCGCGCTCCGACGTAGTAGAGCCCGCGGGGACAGGCCCTCGTCAATGCTGGACCGTGAGCGCAGGCAGAGCTGCTGCAGGTAGCTCAGAGCAAACTGTAGAGATGCCCGTGAAAGCCTGGCACGCCACGGCAAGGGGAGTACGCGCCCGGAGGAACAAATCGCCTTTCCTTTCTGATAACCAAGTTCCTGCTTCGCTGCCGCAAGCGGACCGCATCCCTCTGGCAACCTACAAGGCTCATGAGCACACACGGCGCACGAGGGGGACGGACAAGCGTGAGGAAGACGTGGGAGACCATTCAGTGGCAGTAGTAGGGACGCAGGGGGGAAAGGGTTGGTGTAGGAAGCCTGCAAAGAGCCGGGTTCCCAGCTAGCTTCTCCTACAAGTGCGGGACTGAATCATGCAGGTCATCCCAGAGCACAGTCGGGATCCTACGCTGGGCAGCCCCTGCCCACAGGACACGCACCGTGATGGGGAAACACTCCAAAAAGGGAGACTTCAGAGGAGCCCAACGAGACGTCCCGGCCCCGCCAGCCGCTGCTGCAGAGCCCACATCCTCACCCTTCTCCGGACAAAGGGCCAGCCTTCCCTTTCAGGGTCGCAGCAGCTTCACCGCGGAGCAACGAGCGCTGCGCTCTCCTTGCAGGAGCGACAGCCTCTGCCCTGCCGCGTCCACGGCTCTGAGGTCCTCACGGCCCTCGGGGCTGGCTGGGTTCGCACCCTGGGCGGCGGC